ATGGTGGCGCATGCCTATAGTCCCAGCTACTCGGGAGGCTGAGGCAGGAGGATCGCTTGAGCCCAGGAGTTTGAGGTTGCTGTGAGCTAGCCTGACGCCACGGCACTCTAGCCCGGGCAACACAGTGAGACTCTGTCTCAAAAAAAAAAAAAAAAGATGAAATTTATGCAGTGTTCCATAAATGGAGACAAACTTCATATTATATGTATTGACTGCACGGGGGGCAACAAAGTGGCCATGAAAAACACAATTCAATCACATCTAAAATTCGACTTATATAAAATACGCATATAATCCTTGTTTAATATGAAATAAACATCCTTAAGTTTTATTAAGTCTTTGGTAATCTGCTCGGTAGTGTACTTATTTTATCTTTAGTCAGTCTTCGCGGCGGCTCTGTTGTGTGTGTATAATTATCCTTACAGATGAGAAACTGGCACTCAGAGAGGTGAAGGAACTTGGCCAAAGTCTCACAGCCAGCGAGGTCAGAGCCTGGATTTGAATGGAGCTCGTTGGGACCACAGGGCTCTTGCTTTCTTGGCCAACTGCTCCCTCTCCAGTGCGTGGGGACATTTGGTTTTGCAGGTTTATGAACCGCCCGTATCAGCTGCCTCACCTTGGCCTTGCTGCGGGTCTGCTGTCTCCCTCACAGGCTGCGAGCTATTTGAGACCAAGGACTGTCCCCCAACATCTAATCTGCGTGGCTCAGGGAACTGAGCATATTTTGTTGGATTGAATGTAAATGAATTAAACAGGGCTCTGACCCAGGGACCTAGGAGGGGGACGGTCCCAGGCACAGCTGGCTTGCTGGAGACAGCACTGCGGCCACTTCTCTCCACCCCTTCCTTCCAGAAATCCGGTTTGGCAGCCTACTGGGTTTCCTGTTGAATTGAAGTAACCTCACAGAGCAACCTCTGGGCAGACCCGCAGCGCTCCTCCCACGCCCCATCCACTCTTTGTTTCCAACAAATCCTTTGAATGCTAAGGGGCTGGAATTCCTTTCCCAGCTACTTAGGCCCACTGTGAACTCCAGCTCCTCCTCTGAGCTCTATAGCATGTGGGGCTGTTTTTCGTAGGCATGGGTCAAGCGGAGCCAGTCTCCTTCTCCTAGCGATGCACTCGATGGTGTCAAAAGCAGAGAAGTTTAGAAGATTACCTAATATGTGTGAGGATGAAAAAACCAGGCCCCAAGGAGGAAAGTGGCTGGTATCAAATGGGGATGAGGCAAGGCACCTTTCTCCCTCTCTGTGGGATATTCATTCCTTCGGGTCCCCTGAGCCCTGCTGGGGACCCTACATCTGACACTTACTGGTGAAAACAGCTCTTTTGGTTTCCATCTGTAGTCCTTTGCTCCATGAGACTTGCGTCCAGCCCAGGGACTGGAGCCTGGGCACAAACACCACCTGCCTTCCTCTCCCCTTGGCTCAGCCCCGAGGTTCCCAGCTCGTGCGGCTAGAAAGCTTCAGACGCGCAAAGACTCCGAAGCCAGTTCAGTTGAACACACACACTTCTGAAAGGAACACGTCTCTATTTTCTAGATGAGGAGGTGGAGCCCCAGAGAGGTTAACTGGCTTGTCCCAAGTCACCCAACTCATCAGTGGGATTAGAGCCTGGGCAGAGCCTCAATCCATAGCTCCCCCTGTGTCTCTACCTTAGCCCGGCCTGCCGTGTAACCCAGGAACACCTCAGTTGGCTGGGCTGCTCAGGAATGAGGTCGGGCCTCAGCAACAAGGTGTGCCACACGACCTCAGGCCCCCTCTGTCACCCACCCCCCTGCTCCACACCAGCCAGGCTGGCCTGCGTGCAATTTCCCCACCCACAGTGCCTGATCCCCCACCCTAGGATGATGGTCATTTTTCTGTCTCCTCATCCCTCCCCGCATCCCTAACCTGTCTTTTTAAACTTGGTGCAACATCCCCTCTTCTAACCCTGCTCCTCCCAGACCCTCCCACCCTGCTTAACCCCAAGACTGGATTCAAGGTTTCCACCAGCGCTGTGCTCCGTGGGGCTGTCTGCCTAGTCTGCCCCGCTGCGTGCTGCTCATAGCAGGCACGGCGCAGGTTCGATGCCGCATCCCATTGGCTCATAGGAGGCCCTGCGGGGGTGTTTGTGGAGTGAATGAGGCTCAGATTTTGGTTCCAAAGATCTTTCTCAAAGACCAGAGGCAACTCTCCAGCCTCGGTCAGTGTGTATGCACGGCAAGGTACAGCGTGAGGCGTCCATAAACAGAATCCTGTGCTCGCAAACGCCTCCCCACTGGCCTGTCATTCTGCCCCTCAAAGTCTCATGCCTTTGAGTCTGAAAGCTTCTGGAGCTTTCTACTCGAGTGCAAACATGGGTGGCTAGGAGACATGAGAAGAGATGCCAATATTTCTACGAATCAAAGGAATGCAAATCCAAACAATAGGGAGAAGGCATCTTTGACCTATCAGATGGGTTAAAAGCAGTTTTTTAAAAGGTGTAGTTTTAGAGGCATAATGAATCAGTCTCAGACTCTGTGGGTAAAAACTGGGACAGCCTTTGGGGACAATTTTACTGTAACTATAAAAAAAAGGGAACACTTTTAGGCATCTGTCCTACAAGAATCTTCACACTGGTGCACGCACTTGTATTACGAGCGTGTTCATCATAGAATGAATTGCATTAGTGGGAAAAAAAGTATACAGAACTCAAGTGTCAGTTAATAAAGGTTGATTAAATTCATCATGGGACAGTCATACAACAGATGTCTCTCTGGCCACTTACACGGATAAGGTAGATCTTCATGTAGTGGTGTGGAAAGATGCCCACTATCTGCTGTTACACGAGACAAGCGAGTTGAAGAAGATGTGTAATTTATCCCTTTTGGGTAAAAAAGAAAGAAGCTTGTGTGTGCGCGCGTGTGTGTGTGTGTGTGTGTGTGTGTGTGTGTGTATGGTATGTACATGTCTAACCCAAGCATTAGTCTCTAACTTCAGGGTCACCTTCCTGCAGTACATCTGGGGACAAAAGGAATGTGTGTCTTATTGGTGACTACTAAGTCATATCCAGCATCTTGTCCCTATTGCAGCCTCCCTGCCATTTCCAGATCAGTCCCCATCCCCGAACGCCCTGGTGAAGGGGCTGTCAAGGAAAGACTATGATAGAGTGTGCCGGGCCCCCACCGCCCACCACTGTCACCATGTAGGACTCTGGGGGAGTGTTGGGCTTTACTGGAGGGCTGGAGCCACCAAAGGGATGACAGTGGGGATGGGAAAACATTTCAAACTGTCCCCTAATTACAAACTTTTTCTCAAGTGGGCTTTTGAAACTGATTTACTGAAACTGAGAATGGTACACCTAGAAGTGACCCCAAATCCGTGATTGAACCTGCCTTTCTTACCCTGAAACCTCCCAGTTGACAGGTACAGGAGCTGGGTCTTTAGGGGAACACAAGTGTGGGAAATGCTCATTTCTGTAGTCTGGGGAAGAAGCACCGAGAAGGGAAACTTGTCGCAGAAGTTCCTTTAGGGGCACCAGCCTTGCTCCCAGGCCCTCGTGTCTGCCTTTGGCTCTCTTTAACACGTGGTCCACATTTATTCATAGCTTTCGGAATTATAATCAAGTGGCCAGTATTACACACTGATGGAACATAGTAAATTGTTCCCCTAATGTTGGTCACTTACAGTGTTGCCACGCTTTCCATATAGATGATGCAATGAACGTCTTCATGCATGGAGATTTTGCTTATATCGTATTTCAAGAGGGAAGTTACTAGGTCAAAAAGTACAATATAAATGTCTTTATGGCTCCTACTAAAAATTGCCAAATTGCTTCCAAAAGAGTTACTCTGATTTATAATACTACCAACATCAGTAGAATCTACGAGTTCCAGTATAATCTTGCCAACGCTGGCTCTTTTTTTTTCAGTTGGCTGTTTTAGCAGATTATAAATGGTATCTCAAAGCTGTTTTTCCTGTTTTTCTCCTCACTAGCCAGGGTGGAGTTCAGATTTTCAAAAGATTTGTTTTAAAGGTATTCTAAGTTGTAGGCACATGTACTGTCTCCTCTCCGCCTAGTTAGCCTACAATAAGTAGTATTAATGATAATAACAAGAACTTTAATTCCTTAGGTCTTTAGAGCACTTTACAGTTTATGAATTGGTACACCATTATGTCATCTTATTCTACCGGTAGGTGAGGGAGGGCAAGGATTTTTTCCCCTTTATAGACAGAACAGTTGAAACTATGCAGAGCATGTTTGGTGTGAGTGACAGATGCCCACCAGGGCTAATGTAAATAATCTGGGGGGTATTCAGAGATTGCAGAGAAACTGCTCAGCCTCTCTCTGGGTCCACGTGGTCTCTTCTCTATGCTTCTCTCCGCCTGTCCCATCCTCCTCTCTGCAGAGCATCTTTCTCTGTTTCTTTATCAGCATCCACAGACTGAAAATAGCAGCTATACCCAGGCTCTGCCCATCCTTTCTAATCAGTCTCTGGCCCTGAGTCCATCATCTCTTGGGAGAGACCTGGGCCTTCCAGCCTCCCAGATGCACCTCCCATAATACTGCCCAGGGGTCCATCCTGGGTCAGGGACAGAGTGGGGGGCAAGGCCAGGTGGTTAAGACAGCGGGGCTGGGACTGATGGGGGCAGAAGGAAGGCAGATCCTCTTAGAAGGGTGTGGGATGTGAAGCAAAGCTAGGCTTTTCAGTACAACGTTTGCTGGAAGCCGCTCCTGCATGGTCCTCTGAGCCTGGCTAGACCACAGCAATAGCAACTTGCCAGTAATAACAGTTCTTAGGCCTGCAGAGATGTCCCAGAAAAAACCCTCCCAAAGGCAGAGAGGAGGTGGTCTCTTTCCTCTCTAACCACACCCTGGGACCTCCCCGCAGGCCTCAGTCAGGCTCTGCCCACCGCCTTGAGCCAGGAGGTGCCTCTCAAGGCAGGTCTTGGAAAGCCTGCTGTCCCAGGGAGGGGGCGCTTGCAGCAAGGGCGCGTCCTGGCCCCGCCCACCCAGCCTGGGCCCTGCGTCCCCCTCTGCAGGTGCGGATCTGGGAGATTCCCGAGGGCGGGCTGAAGCGGAACATGACCGAGGCGCTGCTGGAGCTGCACGGGCACAGCCGGCGCGTGGGGCTGGTCGAGTGGCACCCCACCACCAACAACATCCTGCTCAGCGCTGGCTACGACTACAAGGTGCGCGGCGGCGGCAGGCGACTCGGTGGGGAACGGTAGGGAGAGACAAGAGGGTCTTTGGGGGGCCCACGGGGAGCACGGTTATTTCCCAAGCAGCCTGCATTGCCTCATCAGTTCATTCGCTGGTTCATTTATTCATTCACTCGCTGCACACGACTGAGCATGTCCTGTGCACCCCGTCGTTCCTGGGGTCCGCAGAGGCTAGAGGCGTCTTTTCTGCCTTCGCTGGAGGTTGGTGGACTGCAGGAAAATGCCCACTCTATGCCACGCCCTCTGCTTGGCCCCTTCTTTCTCTTTTTTTCTCTCTCTGTTTTTTTTTTTAAGACAGAGTCTCGCTCTGTTGCTCGGGCTAGAGTGCCGTGGCTGTCAGCCTAGCTCACAGCAACCTCAAACTCCTTGGCTCAAGCGATCCTCCTCCCTCAGCCTCCCGAGTAGCTGGGACTACAGGCATGCGCCACCATGCCCGACTAATTTTTTTATATATTTTTAGTTGTCCAGATCATTTCTTTCTATTTTTAGTAGAGACGGGGTCTTGCTCTTGCTCAGGCTGGTTTCGAACTCCTGAGCTCAAACAATGCACCCGCTTTGGCCTCCCAGAGTGCTAGGATGACAGGTGTGAGCCACCACACCCAGCCACTTGGCCCCTTCTTAACCAAGAGGTGGGCACTGCTTTCCGGGTAGAAAAAAGAAGCAACCAATCTGCTGGAGGGGGAAAGTGGAGCCTCAGCGTCTGCCTCAGGCATGTCTTCAAAAGAGGCGTGCCGGCCTCCTGGGACCTGGCAGGGAAGGCGTATCCTTCTTGCCAGTTACAGAACCGGAGCCCAGGCAGGGCTGGGATCTGACCAAGGATATTAGTGGATCTCATGTGTCAGCCTTTCCATGTAGAACTCAACAGCCCCATCCTGCATCCCAGCACAGCCCTGGCCCCGCGCGCGGCGCTTCTCCCAGGGCGGTCAAGTGTGGACCGGGGACAGATGCGCCAGGACTGCAACAGTGGCTGACCGCGCCTCCTGCGCGTGTGTCCTGCAGGTCCTCATCTGGAACCTGGACGTGGGCGAGCCGGTGAAGATGATCGACTGCCACACGGACGTGATCCTGTGCATGTCCTTCAACACAGACGGCAGCCTCCTCACCACCACGTGCAAAGACAAGAAGCTGCGTGTGATCGAGCCCCGTTCCGGCCGTGTCCTGCAGGTGGAACCCTACATTTTTTGAGGGTGGGGGGAAGGTATTGGGGCCTGGAGCTCAGCTTTCAGCCAGGCCTTTTCCTGGAGGAAAAGGCTGTGCCAGGCCCCTTCTCCCACGCACTTCTGTTGACCAGCTTGTCTGTTCTGGGCCCTTCTGGGTGCATAGGAGCCTTGCCTTGTTCTGAGTGGGGAGGGCCCTCGGGACCCTCTGCCCTCACCACACCCCCTTCCCCTAGATAGGATTGTCTGGCTTGCTCTGGAAGCTGAACTGGTGGCACCCTTCAGTGCATAAATCCCCAGGTATTAGTAAGTCCCATCCTGGGCACGGGAGGAGGAGACTTTGGACTCACTGCCCAGCCATCTGTATGGGATGAGCCTGGGGAAATGGCTCAGGGTACCAAAGGTGATGGTGAACTCAGCTCCACTTTTGGTCTTTGAATCTCTTGGGTCTTGGGTATGAGGAAGAGGTAGGTGCCATTTGGGAGCAATTAACATTTCTTGAGCACCTACTGTGTGCTAGTCATTGGTCTAGGTGAGATGGAAAATTTGGATGAAATTCGAGGTTTGCCTCCTACGCAAGAAAGGATTGATGCTTGACCTGGGTGTGTTTATCTTGGAAGAGTCCGTTATTGCAAGACCAGAAAGTCATCTACGACTACAGGTTGAGCATCCCCAATTCAAAAATCCAAAACCCAAAGTGCTCCAAAATCCAAAACTTTTTGAGTGCTGACATGATGCTCAAAGAAAATGCTCATTGGAGCATTTCAGATTTCAGATTTTTAAATTTGGGAAGCTCAATTGGTAATGTAATGCAAATATTCCAAAATCCAAAAGAATTCTAAATCCGAGACACTTCTGGTCCCAAGCATTTTGAATACCAGATATTCACATTATGTGCTACTACAGATATTGTTAATAATAATTACAGTTGTTAGTATCACTGGTATTAACCGGCATTTCCTAAGAGCTCGCTGTGTGGCACGCGCGGTGTCGAGGGCTCAGGACAGCCCCGTAAGGTGGGCACTGTTGTTGCTCTTATTTTACGTGTGAGAACACTGAGCCCTGGTGAGGTTGGGAGGCTTGAACCTCATAGTTCCAGGAGGAGCTGTATTTCAAACCCAGAGCCCATGCTGAACAGAAAGGATGTCAGAGGGCAGAGAACCCCACCTGCAACTCACAGATGGGGACACGAGCCCAGAGAGGGTGAGGGACTTCCAGGCTATGCTTTTTTGGCAGAGCTGGGACTAAAATCCAGAGCAAGTGACACCAGCCTGGATCTGTGCACTGTCCCACTAGCCTCTTTTCTGACCCGATGCTGACTCACCTGGCAAAGGACTGGGTACATTAGAAGGAAATCAAGTGTCGTGAGCTGACGGGCGGGAGAGGAGCAGAGGACAGCTCCGTTAAGGGGGAGCCTCCTGATGAAGTGACTTGTCAAACAGGGACCCAGAATGAGTCTGGTGTCCCCCTGAGCCTCAGTTTCCTCATCCTCAAAGTGGGGATAATGATGTCTTCCAGGAGATACTGTTATGGGCATTAAAAGAGATGCCCTGGTGAGGTCAGCTCCCTTCCTCTCCCCTGGTGCCACCTCTCCGGGGTATGATGGCAGAGGGGCCTGGGTCCTGGTTCCCGGGGCTCCATTGCTCCCTGGTCCCCACAGTAGTTTCCTGTGCTGCTGCTGCAAATGACCACAAACCACGTGGCTTAAAACAACAGAATTTATTCTCTCCCAGTCTGGAGAGACTGGGAGAGAATGGCCGCGCTCCCTGCAGAGGCTCCGGGCAGAATCCGTTCCTCAATCTTCCGGCTTCTGGTGGTTGCCGCCTCCTTGGCTGGTGGCCACATCACTGCATCTCTGCCTCCACGCTCACACCACTTTCTCCTCCACGTGCCTGTGTAATCTTACCTCTCTCCTAAAAGGGCATTGTGTGGCATTTAGGGCCCTCCTGGAGAATCTGGGGTAATCTCTTCATCTCAGCATCTTTAATTTAATTATATCTGTAGGGACCCTTTTAAAGGAACATTCTCAGGGCCCAGGGATTAGGACATATCTTTCTGGAGGGAACCATTTATCCCACTGTAGTGCTCAGGTGTTAGGGCCCGGGCTCACCAACTCTTTCCGTTCCTACCAGGAGGCCAACTGCAAAAACCACAGAGTGAATCGGGTGGTGTTCCTGGGCAACATGAAGCGGCTCCTCACCACGGGGGTCTCCAGGTGGAACACGAGACAGATTGCCCTCTGGGACCAGGTCAGCCACGAGGAGGCCTGGTGGTGGGCAGGAGGGAGCAGGCGGCCTAGGCCTGAGCCCACGGGGTCTCTGCTTCCAGGGTGGGGCAGGAGTGGAGTGAGGTTTGTGGCCTGAGGTCCCTAGGGCCCTGTGATCCAGGTGTAGGGTGGCGTGATGCGCCAGGGAAGGGAAGGGCTAGAACGAGGCGGCTCACATGGTGCTGGCAGGGTGGAGCCCGTCCTGTGGCGCAGGCAAGGCAGGGCCGTCCCGGCTGGGGCCTGGATGTGGCCGCGCACCCGCCCAGACTCAGGCGTGCGTGTCCCCGTGCAGCACCAGCACGTGCTGGGATTCTGTCGTGGGACGTGGGCGCATGGGTGTGGGAGACTGTGAGGCCTCTCCTTACTGAGGCCTCCAGGCCCCGGGGCAGCATCTTCACATGGGCGGTGGGTGCGGCTTGGCTCCCCTGGCCCTGGCACTCTGCCCCCACCAACATGCACCTGCTCCCACACCCCAGGCAAACCATGGGTGGTCTCCAGCCAGGCCTGCCTGGAGTCCTGGCGGGGTCAACAGGATCGTGGGGACGAGTGTCTGGTCTCCTCTCCCCACCCACCACCTCCCCCGGAGCAGAGGTACAGGCCAGTGAGCAGGCCCTGGACGGTGGCAGCAGGTGTGGGCAGAGGGTGCTCAGCTCTCTGCAAGCAGCAAGGCCTGTCTCCCCATCAGCTGAACAAGGGGATTGAAGAGAGGCGTTTGTTAAGGTCCATCCAGCTGCAAACTCTCCGCTCTTGAAAGAGCTGCTGGGACACAGCAGGCCAGAAGCAGGTGTGGAGTGGAGGGCAGATCAGAGGGCTGGGGAGCAGCCTGCTGGGTTTGGGCTGGAGGAAGCATCCAGCCCTGGCGGTCACTTCTTCCGAAAGTCAGCCTGGGCCCGAGCGCCGGCTTCTGGCACCGTCCCCAGCAGAGAAACCAGCCAGAGGGCACAGAGGGCTTCAAGGGACAGCGTCAGCCACACCTGCAAGATGTTCACCCTCTCTTTCTAGAGTTGGGGGCTGAGCCCCAGAGAGATCAAGGGACTTCCTGGGGACACATAGCAAGGAGTGGGTTTGGGGAGGGGACACTGAGAACAAGTCCCCTGCCTCCCACTGCCACCGTCCTAGGCTGCTTTTCATGACAAGGAAGTCAATGCTGCCCCCACTCACAGGACAGGCTTTTTAACATCTGCGGGAGGTCTTGACATAAAGGGGTGTAGCTCGGCGGGGGGCCCTTGCTGGGATTTGGGAAGGTGACCTGCCGTCCTGCCTGGACATAGGCTGAGACCAGCTCCCCTCCTGCAGGAGGACCTGTCCATGCCCCTGATCGAAGAGGAGATTGATGGGCTCTCTGGCCTCCTGTTCCCTTTCTACGACGCTGACACTCACATGCTCTACCTGGCTGGGAAGGTAGTAGGAGGTGGGGGAGGGCCCGGAGCAGCCTGTGGGAGCCCTGCCCCGCTGTCCCCCTGCCCCACCCTGGTCCCCTAAGAAGCGCCACCCTATCCTCTCTGGCCTCTCCTGGCCCAAGCCAAGCTCCCCTCCCAGGTCCCACCCTCCCTGCCAACACCTCCCCTCAGGTCTGACACTCATTCTCACTGAAGGCCGAGGCTTCCTTCCAAGGTGATTTGCGGTGGGGCTTTGCACTGGAACAAAGAGCAGAGCCTGGAGTGTAGACAGTGACAAATGATGGGATTTGAGGTCCCCGCCAGGAGAGCTTTGGTGCACACAGCCTCGTTTGTCTGTACACATGCGCGCACGCAACCCCCACCCCGCCCGCCTCTGCAGCCCCAGTAAGTCCCCTGTGGCGGACTCCCCAGGGAGCCAGGGGCCAGGTGTCCCTGGTGGTTTGGGCACCTCCGAGGCACAGGGAGGAGCGCTCTGCAGCAGACCCCTGGGACCAGGGCCTGCTCAGCCCTCCCCACCTGCTGCCCTCCTCACCTCCATCGCTCCTGTCCAGGGGGACGGAAACATCCGCTACTACGAGATCAGCACGGAGAAGCCCTACCTGAGTTACCTCATGGAGTTCCGCTCCCCAGCCCCGCAGAAAGGCCTAGGTAAGGGCTCCCCGGGGCTGCTGTGGCTGGTTGCTCTAGAATAGGAGATGGAACATTTGGCTGGGGGTCACCCCTCCGCCCCTAAATGGAAATCAGACTCAGAAGGCCACAGCTCATGGGCAAGTTAGAAGAGAACCTACAGGTGCTGCCCTTCGTGAGGGTCGGCCGGCCCTTCCTCAGCCAGCCTGGCACTGCCTGCTCGGCGGTGCTGTCATCCCGTGGTCCTTGCATCCACCGTCACTTCTGCTCCGGCAGCCTGCAGGCGTGTGCTGCGTCTTCCCTCCCACTCACAGATAGGGAGCCTGAAGCCCCAAGTGCTATGACGGTGGTGGGAGGTGGCTCAGTAGGTAAGGTCAGAGCAGAGTCTTCTAGACCCAGGCCCCTTCCTTCCTGAGCCCTGGGGAGCCAGGGCCCCCAGAGCCCTGCAGCAGCCGTGTGTGCCTGACAGTCCAGGGGGAAGTTCCAGGTGTGCCCACGACTGCAGCCCCAGGCAGAACCCTGGAGAGGGCCCCGGGACTGACTGTGGTGAGTCAGGCATCATGTTCTTCGTAGCCCACATTCTCCCACCACTAAAGTCTTACAACAAATTTGCATTCCTGTCCACTCACCTGGCAGTGCATATGATTCAGCAGTTCCACATTTGGGGTCTGAATCACCCACGAAACAAACACCTTTATGGGCCCCCCGTTCCCACCTCTGTGGGTGATCTTCCTCCTTGGGGCTTGAGCCCAGCTTGTTCCCTCTGTGGATCTGGTATTCTGGACATAGCCTGAGGCCAGCTTTGGGGACATCAGGATTGAAAAGGCCCGAGCACTCACCTAGTGACCAACAGCAAAATGGGGGACAGAAATGTCTGAGGCCCTGATGACCATCCCGTCACCTTCACCCTTCCCTGACTCTCTGTCATCCCCCACCTCCTTCATGGACACCCCTGTGTCAAGCAGCATAAACATCAGCCTGGGCTTTGGAGGCAGACCTGGGTTTACATTCTGGCTCAACTGTGTACTTAACCCCTCCAAGTCTCAGTTTGCTCATCTGTGAAATGGGGATAATCAAACCTACCTTGCAGGGCTATTATAAAGTTTAGAGACTATGTGTACAAGACACCTGGAAGAGCAATTGGTGCCTGCTGCCCCTTCACGCAGTTGTTCAACAAACATTTGTTGGGCACCAACTGTGTACCAGACCCTCAGCTAGGTCCAGAGATATAGTGGTAAAGAAAACAGAATATGACCTTACTCTCTGCTGAGAGGGAGACAGACAAGAAACAAATAAGTGAGAAAATATTGTATGGAATGAGTTCTAGGCAGAGAATCCAATGGGGTGAGAGAACTGAGAATGGCTGGGGGCTACTTTAGACCAGGTGGTCAGGGAAGGCTTCTCTGTGGCGATGATATTTTAAGCTGAGATCTGAAAAGCAGGAAGGGGGAAGAGTAGTCCTGGCAGGGGAAGTAGTTAGTGCAAAGGCCCTGTGGCCCGAATGAGCCTGGCGTGTTCTAGGAACAGCAGGGAGGTCAGTGTGTCTGATCATGGCGTAGACTCTGGGATGTAACAGGAGATGGGAGGGGGAAAGCGGACAGAGTCAGAGAGGTGGGCAGATATCCATGGCATGCATTAGCCCCAAAAAGCAGTTTGGATTTGATTGGAAAATCACTGGGGGATTTTCTTTTTCTTAGGTGTGTGGGTGAGTGGGTGGGAGATGGGGCAACGTGATAGGATCTGAAATGTTATTAATGGTTTAAGATCTGTCTGGTTTCTGTAGGGAGAATGGATTTGGGAGGGGGAGGGGGAGTCAGGGAGACCACTTAGGAGGCGATTATGGACTTTTAGGCAAGAGAGGATGATAACTAGGTGGACAGCATGAAGATGGCGGAAGAGGATGAGTCCAGGAGATGTTTAGAAAGTAGGGTCAGGCGGGGCGCAGTGGCTCATACCTGTAATCCTAGCACTCTGGGAGGCCGAGGCGGGAGGATCGCTTGAGCCTAGGAATTTCACATTGCTGTGAGCTAGGCTGACACCAGGTCACTCTACTTAGGGCAGAGTGAGACTCTGTCTCAAAAAAAAATAAATAAATAAAAGAAAGAAAGTAGGGTCAGCAGGACTTGCCAAGGTGTCAGATGTGGGGTGGGGAAAGAGGAACCAAAGATGACTCACCCTGTCCTTGTCCTCCTCACGTGTGGCCACTGTTGGGCATTTACCATGACGCAGGCACTTTTTGTAGTTTCAAAGGAGGTCAGGAACTCACCCAGGGAGGTCATGTAGCTACTAAGTGATGGAGACAGAATCCAACCCAGATCTGCTGGCTCCAAATCCCACTTGGGTAATCACTGCACCGCTTCCCTCCAGCTCCTGGAATTCCTCTATCTGGAAGAGCAGCCTTCCCTTCCAGTGGAGGCGAGGTAGAGCCTTAGCTCATGTTCGCGTTACAGGGAAAGAAACTAACGTTGTCCGTGCCGTCACGGTGCCCCGCAGTTAATGAACATCCTCACGCTTTCTCCTCGACTGTCTGGTGGGGCCGCTACTGTGCTCCTCTAACCAGCCAAGGAACTGGAAGCTGGGGGAGTTCGTGACTTGCCCAAGGACTCCCAGCTGGGAAGGGGCAGAGTCAGGATTCCAACCCGGATTTGTCTGCCCCAGAGCCCTGCTCCCAGCACCAGGCTGCCCCCCTCCCTGTGGCAAGTGCTTGGCAGAGGCAGCTGTTGGGGACATCGTGGCTAGCAAACACACGCAGACAACGCTTGCACGCGTTGTTGGTTCTGAAAGACGTACAACAGAACAGTAATCTTAGGCTGAGTTCAAACCTAGGGTATGTGGGGAATGGCTTCTCCCTCTTTTCTCTGTGAAGACTGGAGACACAGAGGATGTGCTCCATGGCCCAACCCCTGCCTGTTCTGTGACCTTGGACCACCCGTTGCCCCCAGCCCTCAGGAGCCTCATCTATAAAAGGAGTGGGCAGGATTCAGATATTTCTGCAGTCCCTTCTGGTTCTAAAGGGCCCCATTTCTAAAGTGCGCACCATGGTGAGGCAGGCCTGGCCCAAGGGACTTATTTGAGAAGTGACCACCCAGAGATAGAGCCCACCCTCTGCCCTCTGCATGGGCCGTTGCCTCCAAACCTAAGTGCCCACCCCCTCAGGCTCCCCCTGGCTGAGAACATCAGGGGGTAGGGGCCTCAAGGGAGCGTCCCCAGGGCCCCGTAGAGCTGTGTGTGCCTGTCCACAGGAGTCATGCCCAAGCACGGGCTGGACGTGTCGGCCTGCGAGGTGTTCCGCTTCTACAAGCTGGTCACTCTCAAGGGCCTGATCGAGCCCATCTCCATGATCGTGCCCCGCAGGGTGAGTGGGGTGGAGCTGGCCTCCTCAGGGCCCCTGCCTTGAATCCTGGCCCGCTCCCCTCTGACCTTGAGCCTGGCGGAGCCCGGTTGCGGGAGGTGCTGTGGACGAGGGTCTTCAGACCCCGCGTGGGGTGGGGGTAGGGGCCCTTCCCAGGTGGGGACAGTTCGGCCTGCGCATGAATGCAGCGGGGGTTCATGGGAGGCGGACACGGAGTACAAAGCCCTGGAGGTGGGAAAACAGGTCTCATGGCTGGGGGGTCAGACTGGAGGGCAGGGGCCTTCCCAGCCACCCCTTTCTGTCCCCAACTTCTGCTCCTCCGCTGCAGTCGGATTCCTACCAGGAAGACATTTACCCCATGACGCCAGGCACGGAGCCAGCCCTGACCCCGGATGAGTGGCTGGGAGGCATCAACAGAGGTACTGCGGGGGGTGGACTTGCAGAAGAGGCCGAGAGGCTACGGCCGTCGCCGTCGGCCCATCTCTCCCCCGTCCACCTGGTGTCCTCCTGCTGGAATGTCCCTCACACCTGGCCAGCTGTCGAGTGTGATGCCAACAAAATGCGCCATCGCTGGGCAGGCTGCGAGCGCGCAGTGAGAACGCTCCCTTGCCTTCCTTAGATCCCGTGCTGATGTCTTTGAAAGAAGGCTATAAGAAGTCCTCGAAAATGGTATTTAAGGCTCCCATCAAAGAAAAGAAGAGCGTCGTGGTCAACGGCATAGATTTATTAGAAAATGTCCCACCCAGGACAGAGAACGAGGTAAGGAATGTAAGTTATTACCTCCACGGGCCCTGGAAGAGCGAGACCTTTACATTTCAATTATGGGCTTCGCGCCTTTAAGCCAGCTCCATTCTGAGGCATTTTTCTTTCGGTGACAAATACCATAAGTAGCCTGCTATGGGCTTCCGTTGCCTCTGACCCCAATAAATAGAGGCTGGGACGCTGTGGAGAGATTGGCTCCCGCCCCACCCCCAAGCCTCAAATTCTCCAGCCCACAGAGTTATGTGTCGCCTCGTGAATCCACTTCAGAATGTTGCTGTCATTCGGTGCTACGGGACTCGTAAATTTCTGATCAACAGGGGACGCCTGGCCTCCTGCACCACAGCCCTGCCTTCGTCCCTGGCACTGAGGCAGTGACAGGGCCTGCCGCCTCCTGTCTTAGTGGAAGAGGCTGGGTGTTTCGGACAGTGCTCTCTGTACCATCTGCAGTGGGCGCAAGCTCTTTCGGGGAGCTCAGGCCGGGCCTCGTGCATGCCCCCGCAGGCAGCTCCTTCCAGCCCGCACCCCAGTCCCTGGAGCCGACACGGTTCGGCTCGGCCAGGATTCGCAGGTGGCTGCCGTGCGCCAGGCACGAGGCCTGACGCAGCTGAAACAGAGACGGCCGCGCGGCCCCCACCCTGCTCTTGAATCCCGGCTCTGCCATTTCCTGGCTGTGACTTAGCAAGTTTCCTGACCTTGCTAAGTCCATTTTTTTAACGGTAAAATGGGGCTATGAAATGCTGTGAGCATTAAGAGATAATCCGTAAGTGTCTGGCACCCTTTCTGGCTCATATGAAGCACTAGAAGAAAGAAGCTGATTTATTAGCTATCTATTGCTGTGTAACAAATTACCCCAGAACTTAATGACTTAAACCCATGAACACTTATTATCTCACAGTTTTGGGGGTGCCTGTGGCTCCAGGTCTGTCATGAAGGTAGTTATACTGTCCACTGGGGCTGCAGTCACATCTGAAGGCTCGACTAAGGAAGGATCTGCTTCCAAAATTCCCCTGTGTGGTTGCTGGCAAGACCCATGTCCTCAGAGCCTGCTGGACTCAGGGTCTCAGTTCCTGGAGGGCTGCTGGCCAGAAGGTTCCCTTAGGTCCCTGCCATATGGACTTCTCCACAGGGCAGCTCACAGCATGGCCGCTGGTTCCCTTAGAGCGTGAAAGCTAGAGAGCAGGAGGGTATCCAAGGTGGCAGCCACAGTCTCATTGTAACCTTATCTTGGAAATGACATCCCACCACTTCTGCCATGTGTTCTAAGTTTGAAGCAAGCTAATAAGTCCAGCCCACCCTTGAGGGAGGAGATAACATGGGGCCATCTTAGATACGGCCTGTCCCACCAACTTACGGCATCACTATTACTAATAAAAAGAAGACCCTTCTTGACCTCTGGGACCTTGCTGTCTTAAAGGGGAGATTGCCAGGTAATCTGATAATTGCCATAAAATATGTTCATGACATTGTAGAGGGATGTTCAGGGCTGGATGAAATGACATCATAAATGGGATTTGCTCCAAAACGGTCCCTGAAGGGGGGTGGTGCCGGGGAAGTGGGGAGCAGTAGACATGAAGTAAGAATGGCCACATGTTATTAGTTGAAGCCGGGTGATGAGTACTTGGGGGTTCATGGTGCTATACTTTCTATTTTTGTATCTATTTAACGTTTTCCATTTAAAAAAAAATTTGTGTCCTTTTTTGAAAAAGTGTCCTTTTTCAAAGGTGGAGATACATAGGTTGCTGTGATAGCCCAGGTGGGCATAACAAGGACATGAGCCTGAATGACAAGGTTCTGGCACGGGGTAAGGAGAAGGCAGGTTTGAACAGTAGTTAGATCAAGTTAACATTTACCACAGACTTGCCCATGTGAATCAAAACTGAGAACCTCGAGGAAAATCATAAAGGGTCTCTGAGCAGACAAAACAGATGCCACAGTCTCTCTACGCTAGAGCTGTACGTCTTCCTCATTGGGAAGCAGCTTCCTCATAGCCTGCTGACTCTGGATTTGCACATAGCGTTAGTCATCGCAGCAGATCAGAAGCAACCAGTTAGAAAGTAGGACTGTAAGAGGTGGACACATTGATCTAAGTGCAAGGAGACAGCTGATAGCTGGGTGCGGGCGAAGGGTCTCGTGGCTGTACAACTCACTAACTTTACTAAAAATCACTGACTTGCACACTTAGCATGAGCGAATTTTATGGTATGTGAATTACACCTCAAGAAAGCTGTTTTTTTTTTTTTTTTTTTGACCAAAGCGGCCCAAAAAACTATGCCAAGAAAGTTGGAGAACTTGGAAAACACAAGGGTAGTAGGATCATCCAGTGTAAGGGCAAATAGCATATCATCCCTCTGAACAGACAAAACCAGGACTGGTGGTTTGTTCGTTAGCAAAATTTTATCTTAAAGTCAGTTAATGGAGGGAATCCTAAAAATGATACATACATTTTTTAAGCCATTTATTTTCACTTAAAACATAAAACATATGCATTCATTCAGCATATTTTGATGCAGGACCAAGATCTTTTCTTTGAGGAGGCCTCCCCTGGTTGGACTCTGCCGCGTCTTTCTCACACAGATCG